CCGCCCTCCTCCTCCACAGGCCGCCGGCGGAGCTCGGCCCTGGCGGATCTTCGGCTCCGGCGGGGCTCGGACCTGGCGGCTCTCGGACCCGCGGAACTCGGACCTGTCAAACCACGCGAAGATCGGGACAACATCGGATCGGGGTGACTCGAAATCTCTGAGAGTCGGCGGGTTTGGAGGATGTATTGGGCGCCGCGGCCGCTCCAGAGCGTTCCGGAACGCTCTGAGAGCGCTCCGGAACGCTCTGGAGCGAGTTATCCCGATCCTAGCCCTGTTTTAACCTGGCTGGTCTTCGGACCGGGCTGAAAACTCGGACCCTGGCTGGTCTTCGGACCCGGCTGGTCTTCGGACCCGGCCGAGCTCGGACCCGGGCGTGCCCGCTGCAGCGCGGGCCTGGGTCCGAGTTCAGCCTGGGTCCGAGTTCAGCTGGGTCCGAGTTCAGCCTGGGTCCGAGTTCAGCTGGGTCCGATTTCAGCCCGGGTCCGAGTTCAGCTGCGTCCGAGTTCAGCTGGGTTTGATTTCAGCCCGGGTCCGATTTCAGCCCGGGTCCGAGTTCAGCTGCGTCCGAGTTCAGCTGGGTTTGATTTCAGCCCGGGTCCGATTTCAGCCCGGGTCCGAGTTCAACTGGGTCCGAATTCAGCTGATGTCCAAGGGACCCCCAAGAGGCGCCTGAAGGGGACTCCGAACTAGCATCATCTTGGAATCGCTTGCGGAGGGTTTCCAAACGAAGCCAAAGAGCCCCGAAAGGCCCCCCATAGGACACAAAGAGGGCCATGCTAGGCTTCAAAAACGGCCCAAGATGGCGCCACAGCGGCTTGAGACACCCCCCACAGAGCATTATACTATACACGCCCATACAGCCCAAGAAAGACCCCAGCAAGAGGCCCGCAAGAGGACTCAGATAGGCTCCCAGGGCTCTCCCAGGATGCCTCAAGATAGCCCTAGACGGCCCCAACAGCCCCCAGGGTAGCCTCAAAGGATCATGAGGAACAACCCTTTCTTCGACGTCCCTTTCCTCGAGCTCCTTACTGTCCGCCGTCGTCGTCGTCGTCGTCGTCATCCTCCTCCTCCTCCGTTTCGTTCCTCCTCGTGCTCGTCCTCCTCCATCTCTTCCTCCGTCTTCCTGCTCGTTGTCCTGCTGCTCCCCTCGCTGCCCTCCTTGTCGTGCGCGCTGTCGTCCTCGTCATCTGCCGCCTTGTCGTCGCCATCATTATTCTCTTCCTTTCCCCCTACGAGCTACGAGCCCACTGGACAACATCGGCGTTGTCCGTCTTGTCCCATCAGGTTCGCAGTGCTCATGCTCTCATACCCGTTACTGGCAATGCGGGGAGACCTGAAGACAGCTCTCAGTGCCTCGCGGCACAGTGGCGGATGTACCACACGGAGTGTAGTCCACGGGATAGCCGTCCTCTCCTCTCTTTTTCCTCGGCCCCCTCATTCACCTTTCTGTCCTCGCAAGCCAGCGATACCGTGGACGGTCTATCCTCGCCCCTTCCACGACCCACTTGACCTTCGTGGGTGGGAGGTTCCTCCTCCTCTACCCTACACTTCTCATCCTTCTTTCAATCCTCGCCCATTCTCTTGTCCTCGTCATCTTTCTTGCCTTGTGCTCCCTCTCCCCCTCTTCCCCTCCCCCCGCCCCCATCCTCCTCGTCTTCTTCCTCGATCCCTTCCTCCTCGCCCTCCTCTCCCCTCTGCCTCCTACCCCTCCTCGTCCGCCCGAAGTCAGGTAGTCTCAAGAATCTCTTGCACTGCTCGTGCGCTGCAATTGCCGCGGTGTGTCACGGGCGCGCAGCCATGGCCAAAGCCGCCGGTGTCTTCGCGCTTCTCTGCCTGAGCATGCCGGCACGCGCGAGGGCAGGGGCACATCAGCCCATGGCCTGCGCGGAGGACATGTCTAATTTTGTCGAGGTGATCGCAGAAACCGCGGAGGACATCTCGGCGGCGAGCGCGGGGGGAGGTGAGAAGGAGAAGGCCTCTTCCTCCTCCTCCTCCTCCTCCTCCTCTTTCTCCTTCTCCCCCTCCTCCTCCCCCTCCTCCTCCTCCTCCTCCTCCTCCTCCTCCTCCTCCTCCTCCCCCTCCTTCTCGTCCTCCTCCCTCTGAAGTCCCCCCGACCACTGGGAAATTTGCTGAGCCTTCCCCGAAGGCGCAGAAAACTTCTCAGAAGGCGCGAGGGCCTCTGAGAATACTCGCTGCCTTCTGAGGGCATTCTCCTCCTCACTTCCCCCTGCGGGCTCGCCGCCGAACATCGTGTTCTCCGTCGTGGACTGCACCCCTCCAAGTCTGGACGAGATGGATTGTGCGTCGGACATCATCGACGCGGTGCGAATGATGGCCAAGGTCTCTGCCACGATTTCCAGCTCGACGTACACCTGCGGGGGCATCAACAACGCGTGTGCCGACACGGTCTCCAGCACCGTCGCCGAATTCATGGACCTCGCCGGGAACCTGATCGCCGCGGCAGCCGATTGCGCGCTGGCACCGTTCAATTGCGTGGTAGACTGTTTTGAGAGCCTCAACAACGTCATGACGATTGCGGTCGAGATCTTTCCCAGAGGCGTGCGCCATTCCGCCAGCCTCAAAAGAGAGACGGACCTCGCGCTGCTGGCTCGGGATGGCCTGTTTTGGCCTGCCTGGGTTTATCTCTGCGTCATTCCGTGTCTTCGGGGGCCGCTTTGGTGCCCACTCTGGCAGCCCGAGGCCCTCTTCGGGGCCACTCTGGATCATCTTGACACAGTCAGCCACGCGCAGAGGGGGGATGGGGGGAGGGGGGAGGGCTTCCTAGGAGCACCCCTGCTTCTCAGAAGGCGCGGGCCTTATCTATAGATGTTAGGCCGGCGCCTGCTAAGAAGCAGCCTCCTTCTGAGAAGCCCTCCCCTCTCCCTCCATCCCCTTGTGCGCGCCGCCGAGCCACCCCCCGGGATCGCCCTGGCACATTCCAGGAGGGGACAAAAACACGCAGACACGATGAATCGTCGATTCCCCCGAAGATCGGGGAAAATATGGGAAGTGGGTGGGGGGGGGGGACAGACCCCCCGAAGCCATGCGAAGGTGTGGGGAGTCCTGTTCTTCGTGCCCACTTGTTGGTGCGTCTGTGGGCCCCCTCGCCCTCGTGCGCGCCGCCGAGCCACCCCGGGCGTCGCGCCGACGCGCTCTCGGAGGGCCCCGCAGGCCCCGTCGGAGGGGAGCCGGATCGGCCCGGGGAGGGTGCTTCGGCGTGCTCGTCGCCCCCGTCCCCCTTCCCCGCCCCCCCCCCCTCGAGCTGGATCCGAGTCGGGCCTGTCCCTCCACACGAGGAGTATCACCCAAATTTCGTGAACACAAAAATTAGTCAGGGGGCGCTTTTTCCAGGATTGTTGTGGGGCCATTTTGGCGTGTGTTCGGAGTATTCTTTATCTTCTTCGCCCGAGATCCGCCTGTGGGGGGACAAGCCCGACCTAAAGCTGGATCTGGATCCCAGGACTGGGCACGCAGGAAAGGGGACGGCCCAACATGCCACACGCCGCATCATCCCTGGCAAGCTGGGGTCGGCGGACTCCGCCGTCGAGGACTGCAACGCGAAGACCGTCTCCATCCCCGGTGACAATGACGCCCAACCCGCAGAAGTCGAGCTGGCGCCCGACGTCGAGGATATTCCAGAGCTCCAGGCAGAGCCAGTCGAGCGCAGGCTCGTCGGAGCCGGCCCCGTGCAGGCGCCTGGGAAGACGCCTCACGGCCGATCCAAAGGCTGGAAGCAGCACCTCGCCATCGCCGGGGAGCAGATGGCCAGGCCTCCGTCGCCAGAAGTCCTCCACACCCGCCGCCTCGGAGCTGTGCCCCGGGATCCCGCGGACCTCTCGAGGAGCGGTGGCTGCGGAGGCCCGCCTGCCGCCCGCGGGCGGCAGGCGGGCCCCGCGGCCCGCGCTCCCCGAGGGCCTGGGGGCACGACTCCGACGGAGCCCGCGGGCGGGCGTGGACGCCTCCCGGCCGCGCACAGGATGCGCCAGCACTCCGCGCCGCTCGGCGGCGAGGCCGAGGCCCGGGCCGGCCGCCCGCGCGTGGCGTTCCCGCCGCTGGAGGCGCTCCGCCGTGCCGCCGAGGCCAGCGCCGCGGCCGGGAGGCGCCTCCGCCGGGCCCTGAACGGCACCGCGGGCCTCCCCACAGCGGGCACGGGCATCTACGTGCTCTGAGGCTCGCGACGTGGACGCGCCCCGCGAGCGCTGCGAGGCTCGTGGGGATCTGTGTATATCTAGGTTCGCGTCCGTCTCCTGGGTCTTTCGCACAAAGGATCCGCTTCGCACCTGAGAGCTCAGGGGCGTCCACAAAGCCCCAGTAGTAGGAGCGGGCTCTGCTCAGTCGAGGCGGTGGTTTTGAGGCCCAGCTGTCCAGCTGCTGGAGTCCAGCTTCTAGCGACAGGTGCGCCCCGGACAAACTGTATGCCAGCCCTCGCTTCCTTCATGTGTGTGTGTGTGTGTGTGTGTGTGGGTGCTTCTCGCTTGACTTGACCTACGCCGTGCTGCCGCGCGCGTTACCGCGATGCCAAAGTGTGTATATATATATGTGTATATATACACATGTGTGTCCGTAGCCATTTTGCCTCAAGGCCGTCTTTTTGTGTTGTGTGTGTGTGTGAGAGAGAGAGAGAGAGAGAGAGAGAGAGTGAGCCCCGAATCCCCACCCTCGAAGAGGCGTCCGACGCTTGTTGCAGGCGTATTATGCGTACCTTCCCTCGCACTTACTTCGTTTGCACCTCTCCATTGGCATCGCTCGGGCATGTGAATTTCTCCTTCGGCGGGGACCAAAGAGAAGCAACCCGGATCCTCTTGCGAAAAATGAGCTTACGACACCGAGCAAATGCACGGGGAATGGACGTCTGAGCGATGGCAAGCTTCCGTTCACAAATCGAGGTCCTTTCTCTTCGAGGATAATTGAACCTCTAATTCCAATCGCACGATGAAGAGGTAGCCTCACTGAGGTCCCCGTCTTCGCATTCGGGATGATAATCTGGGCGCTTTGGTCTGTGACCCCTGTTCTTGGCCTTCCTAACTTAGGTCCCCTCCCAAAGGGTTATGGGGTACTTTTATTAAGCCCCTTTCCGTTCGGAACGCGCCATGCCAGCACGGCAGCGCAGGCTGCCCCGCGGCTTCGGGGCGAGCTCAGCGCCGACGTCGACGCCGGCGCGCCCGGCTGGGCTGACGAACCCTACGACGTCGTCGAGTGCAGGCGGGTTAATCACATCGACACTGCCGATCCGATCGTCTACGTCTCCAGCTGCCCCGGCCGGCGCTGCTTCGTGGGCACCGACGCCGCCGAACTCGGGGGCGGCCACGAGGGGGGTGATGACTAGGGGGGAGCTGGATATCACGGCGTGGGCCGTGATGTTTCCGGAGATCTCATGGCGCCCCTCCTCCTTGCCTTGCGCCCCCGGGTCCCTCCTTGGGCCGCGCACGTGCCGCCAGCCATGATCTGCACCCCCCCTCTTCCCAGACCCCCGACGTCATGATTTTTTCATGACGCGACCCCCAGAGGTCCGGACCTATTCGCCGGGACCGGTTTTTCATCCTGAGTTTTTTTTGACGGTCCCGAGGGCCGGTAAGGGCCCCCAGAGGCGGAAAACATAGAAAAACCTTCCGTCGTGATTTTTTCCTGACTCGAGGGGGTCTGGGTTTGACGCCCTCCTCTTGGCCGCCCCCGACGAGCCGACCGTCCACTAAACTCCGGCTGCCCCGGCCGGTGCCTGCTCCGAGGGCGCACGCCGTGCTGGTGCGGCGGCGTGGGCGCTGCGAGGCGGCCTCGGCGGGTGGCCGGCTCCTCCTCCTCCTCCTCCTCCCCCTCCTCCCCTCCCTCCTCCTCCTCCTCCTCCTCCTCCTCCTCCTCCTCCTCCTCCTCCTCCTCCCCCTCCTCCCCTCCTCCTCCTCCTCCTCCTCCCCCTCCTCCTCCTCCTCCTCCTCCTCCTCCTCCTCCTCCCCCTCGGCGTCGGCGCGCCCGGTGCAGGCTGACGTGCCCACCAGGGCCTTGGGTCGGACCTGTCCCTCTACAGGGGGAAGATTCCACAGGTACTCCAGTTTTCGTAATAAAGGGAGGGGGGTGTCATTTCGGGGGGGGGTCTCTTCCAGGCTATCTTGGAGGGCCTGGGGGGGTCTGAGGACGATGTTTTGGAGGGTTCTCCCACGGGGGGGGTCTGAAATGGCTTGTCTTGGAGGGTCCAGACCCCCTCCCTTTTATTACGAAATCTGGAGGAGCCATTCCGTTCCGTAGTCTGGGGAGGCTTTTTTGACTCTTTGTGGGCATTTTTTGGGGCATCTCTTTTGGCTATCTTTCATTTCTCGTCCAAAATCCGTCTGCATGGGGGACAGGCCCGACCTGACCATAGCGCCGACGAGGGCAAGCTGGTGGAGGGCATCAATACCGCCAAGCCGTTCGTCTACGTCTCCAGCTGGCCCAGTGAGTGCTGCTTCGACGGCATCAGCGCCGCCGAGCTGGCCGTCCACGACTCCAGCTGCCCCAGCCAGTGCTGCTTCGAGGGCATGCCGTGCCAGTACTGCGACGTGGGTTCTGGCCTTGGGGCGGGCTCAGCGCCGACTCCGACGCCAGGGCGCCTGGTTTAGGTCGGCGGCCCTGCCAACCCCGACGAGTGCGAGCTGGTGGAAGGCATCAGCACCGCCGAGCCGTTCGTCTCCGTCTCCAGCTGCCCGGCAGTGCTGCTTCGAGAGCATCAACGCCGCCGTGCCGATCGTCGACGTCTACAGCTGCCCCGTTCAGTGCTGCTTCGAGGGCAAACCCTGCCGATACGGCAACGTGTGCTTCTAGGCCATCGCCACATCGTGGTGCAAAGTGGGGAGGTTCGCATGTGGATTCGTAAGAGTATCTGATCATTCCTAAAGTTCCCGTCCTTGACTCGCTATGAGAAGCTTGATGCCACGTTGTGCTATCAGAGCTGTTATGCACCGCGGACGTGTGAGCCTTCCACGAGATTAGTCGCCAGTCTACGACGAAGATTTATGCTCGCATTTCTACCTCTTCCTCGCTTGTTCCCGCCCCTGGCGTCTGCCTTTTGGGCTCCCCGCTTAGCTTCGCTCTTCTGCTCCTCGGGCTCCCAGCTGTCAGGTCCCATTAGCATCCTGGAGCGATCAGGTGCGACGTTTGCTCTGATGAGCGTGAGACGGGTGTGAGTGCTTCAACGCTGGTGGTTAGACCGTCCAGCCAGGGCGCTCTGCAGTGACGTTTCTGGGCCATTTTCGATTTGATTCCAGACTTAAGAGCAGCTTCTGCACTATTGATGTGTATCCAGTGGTGTGCGGTTGGGCTGAGGAATATCGGCTACCTCCGCCAGGCTCGGTCCACCGCCCTCTCTTGCCACGAGTGCGGGGAACGAGCACAGCGGGCTGAGTCGTCGATCGTGGAAGTTCTCTTGCGTCCTAGCTTGACGGCGTGGGATCTTCGCTCATTTTTGCATCGTTGTTTGGTTTGTACGGTTGCGAATTGGCCCGCCTGTGCGCTGCCCTGCACGCGTGCGCGATG